CACACACATACATACATATGCACAAACTATATTTGAACACGGTAAAATTATCAGTTGAAGTATTAACATTAAGTCAAAGATAAAATAAGTTAAAAACTGTATTACATAATAACCATGGACACTCGAGTTTATTTTATTTTATTTCTTATTTGTGCAAATACAATTTTACTTTTTCTTGATAATTCAACATTGATAATTCCTGATATCATCAAAACCGAATTCAATAATTGCTATATGATACATTGTTTTTAAAAATAGATTTACTTAYGTTAAAGATAGTCTTACTTATGTTAAGGGGAAGTTCATTTAAGATGCAGGGAGATTAAGCTTTCCTCTCAGAAACCTTATTTTTCAGGCCCCCCCTTAGGACTTAGCTTGATGTAAGCCCCCACATATCTTCATTCCGTCTCTATCTCAGCATATCCTTGTCCTGAATCTAACTGTTTACATCTGTATATATACACCTATATACATGTTCCATGTATACGTATGTATATGTATTCAACTACATATACACTATAGTCAACAGTGAGTCCCAAATATGTGCAAGTGTCTATGCGTACATATACAAAAGTGTCTATGTGTATATGGAAGGTCAGCCCGAGACTCAATGCAGACTATAGTGTATATGTACAAGTGTCTATGAGACATATACAAAAGTGTCTATGTGTATAGGGTGTATATGTGTATATGGAAGGTCAGCCTGAGACTCACTGCAGACTATAGTGTATATGTACAAGTGTCTATGAGTACATATACAAAAGTGTCTGTGTATATGGGTATATGTGTATATTATAGGGTGTATATGTGTATATATATATACATACGTACATATCAGTGACAGGTATATATTAAGAGGGATGAATACATATACATACGTATATATGGAACATGTATATAGGTGTATATATACACTTTCCCTAAACCAACTTATTTTGGTGTAAACCTGGCTTGTTTTACCAAATAAGACAATAAAAAAAAATAACAAAGCCTGTGCATGAAYGCTTGCAAATGTGGTCATACTTTTGAACATTGTGCTGTAAAATGATCATCCAAGCTTCTCTCCCCCACCTCCCCCTACCTCAGCATATTAAGTAAACTTTCCTTAAACCAACTTATGTTGATGTAAGCCAAATAAGTCATGTAAAAGCTTTTGCATGAAAGCTTGAATATGTGGTCATACTTTTGAGCAATGTGCTGTAAAGTAATCATTCAAGCTTCTTGAAGTCTAACCACTCGCAGAACTAAAGGCAGCACTTTCTCCTCAGTTATCTTAAGACCCTTGAGTGTTGGTCTGATTGAGATATTAACCAAGACCTCTGGTACAAAAGTCTAATGCTCAAACCAACTGAGCTAACTGGGCGAAAAAAAATTTCTTGTAGGACAGCAATGGATGAGGAAGAGGAGCTAACAGATGCGTTGTGGTATGGATATCAGTGTGAATCAGGAGAAATAATGTTTTATTATAATAAAAAGACTGGAGTATATAGATGGGCAAAAGATCTTCCAGGATCTGAGGTAAGCTTATGATGATGATGGTGATATTGGCAATGATGAGGGTGATGATGGTGATATACTAGCAATGATGAGGAAGATGATGATGATGGTGATATTGGCAATGATGGTGATAATGGTGATAATGGCAGTGATGAGGATGATGGTGATGAACATGGTGATGGTGATGATGATGGTTGTGATGATGGTGATAATGGCAATGATGAGGATGATGGTGAGGTTGATGGTGATTTTGGTGATGATAATGATGATGGTGATAATGATAATGATGGTGATGGTGATAATGGCAATGATGAGGATGATGATGATGATGGTGATATTGGAAATGATGGGGGTGTTGAAGATGATGATGATGGTGGTGGTGATGAAGATGATAATGGTGGTGGTGATGATTATGATGATAAACTCTTAATTGGGTATCAGATAAAGTATAATTTTTTTCCAATCTGGCCCATACACTGTAATTTGCAGTAGCTTATTGCTTTCTGCTCTTGTCTTATTCAGTGCATACTATAGCATTGAAACAGTAGTACTGTAATATATTAAATATGTTACAGTCAAA